ACTTGTGAGCATCCAGATGACGTAGCAGGTCGTTGACCGCTTCCTCTTGGATTATGGGGGGTTCATCCTGCTCGCCGTCCCTGTTTTCCAGCTCAGGGCGCCGAGTACCCTGAGGATAACTAGTCTGACTGCTAAAGACTGAGGCAAAGAAGGCATTAAGTACCTCAGCCTTTTCCTCATCCTCAGTGACAATGTTCCCCCCCGCATCCAATAAAGGATGGAGATTCTCCCTGGCTCTCTTCTTGTCATTAATGTATTTGTAAAAACTTTTTTTGTTGTCTTTAATGACAGCGGCCAGGTTGCGTTCTAGCTGGGCTTTTGCCTTTCTCATTTCCTCTCTGCAAATACCAATCTGCACTGCACTGGCAAAACTCTCAGCTCAGTTGTTCTGTGATTCAGTCGAGGAACTGAGGTGGCTAAAAACCAAACACATCACACCACGACACTGTTTCTGTGCTGGGTCCTTCTCCTGCTCTGTCCCACAGCACAGCTGTGCAAACAGCTTTGCCAGAAAAACCAGAGAAAGAAATAAGTAGCAAGGATATTTTCAGGCAGTATTGTTGGTAAAGACTTACGAAATCAGAGCCCACTAGGGGACAAGACCACCTTCACCTTTTTAGAATCACAGAATACCTTGGGTTGGAAGGGACCTTCAAACCCCCTGACGTGGGCAGGGACATCTTCAATTAGATCAGGTTGCTCAAAGCCCTGTCCAACCTGACCTTGAACACTTCCAATGGTGGGGCAGCCACAACTTCCCTGGGCAACCTGTGCCAGCGCTTCACCACCCTCAGCATAAAAATTTCTTCCTGATATCCAATCTAAACATATCCTCTTTCATAAAACCGTTGCCCCTTGTCCTGTCCCAACAGGCCCTGCTAAAAAGTTTGTCCCCATCTTTCTTATAAGCCCCCTTTAAGTACTGACAGGCTGCAATAAGGTCTCCCCAAAGCCTTCTCCTCTCCAGGCTGAATAGCCCCAACTCTCTCAGCCTTTCTTCACAGGAGAGGTGTTCCATCCCCCACGATCATTTTTGTGGCCGTCCTCTGGACCCGCTCCAACAGGTCCATGTCCTTCTTGTGCTGAGGGCTCCAGAGCTGGATGCAGTACTCTAGGTGGGGTCTCACCAGAGCGGAGTAGATGGGCAGAATCACCTCCCTCGACCTGCTGGCCACGCTTCTTGTGATGCAGCCCAGGATACGGTTGGCTTTCTGGGCTGCAAGTGCACACTGTCAGCTCATATTTAATTTTTCATCCACCAGTACCCCCAAGTCCTTCTCGGTAGGGCTACTCAATCCATTCATCCCCCAACCTGTATTGATATTGGGGATTGCCCCAACCTAGGTGCAGGACCCTGAACGTGGCCTTGTTGAACTTTATGAGAGCTTCACTTTGATGCCTTCTGTGGATGTAAAGATCTTGTCCCTGCTTTTGTCCAGAACCACTTGAGTCTTGGAGTACATGGCAAAAAAACAATGGTTACTTGATTCCTCTTTCCTGCTCCAAGGGTTAGTAAGTTGTCTCCTGCTGTCATCTAAGCCTCGTGTATGAGGATCTTATCCTATTTATTTGTAGCTACTTCTTCAATGCTGGACTCACTGGTAACTCATGGGCCACTAGGTTTATCTAATTAGTGCAGTGGAAACCTTTCCTATTGCACCTTCACTGTGACAGGTTGGATATCAAGCACAAGAGCCCACCAAGGTTTGGAGCTGAGGAGGAGCATGCAGTTTAACCAGGTAAAGGGCCTGACTCCCGTCTCTGGGAGATTTATGTTATAGAGGAGAACAGACGTTTTACTTCTTCCTTCTCAGAAGCTGCATATAGAAAAAAAGCTACTGACTGAGCTCTGAAAAGCCTTTTCTGAAAGCCTTACAGCCCATTCTGCTTTACAGAAAACGTCTACATACTCCAAGTTTTAAAGCACCTTACAAATCTCTTTTTTGAGGAACGCTGCCTTGCCTTCCCTACTCTACATTTCAATATATCATGTATTTTTCAGCTGTGTAAGGCTTTCCCACATGCTTAACAGAAGGCACTGGGAGAAGAGGGGAGCTTCGGTGTGCATGACAGCTGCCACCTGGAGCGAACTGAAATCAGGAGTTGCTACACCAGGCCTTTGAGCAGAAGGCCACAGAGCTCACATTCAGCAGTCTGGGTGCAAGAAGAGACATGTAGCAAACACTGGGAAGTGGGTTACACATCAGGCACACATGACAAAGACAAATCCAAATGGGAAATTACTTTTAACGAAAATCTTTGGAGGGCTAATAAGCTTATCTTGATGCTGGTACATCTGCCTCTTCTACTGTGCCAATCTTTCAAGGACAGCTGGAGAATGCCTCTCAGAAGTTGCATGCAATATGACTGATCAGTATTAAACTTTCCTCTCACCCGCTTGTCCTGGATGAGGCTTTTCCCAAGAGAACGACGACAGCTTGGATTTACTTCTCCTTTCTACTGAAATTCTTTCAGTGGAAGGAGGGGCAGAAAAACAGCCAACAGCCTCTCCTCTTTTAGTCTATTTCACTCCAGCAGAAGCCCTCACAAGGAGATTTATTCATTGTACTGTAAGTGTTCACAAGTTAAGAGGCACATACAAAAAGCGTGAGCTTATTCTTCGGCCCTCAGTTCTGCAATAGCAGTTTTAGAAGCCGTCCACATCTCCTACTCATTGGGTAAGCCCAAACCTTCACCTAGAAACAGAGATGCTTACATGCATGATATCGGCTAGTGCACTTAGTCACCCATGATTAGGTAGGTTGTGCATCACCCTTTAAAGCAAAACACAGATTAAACCAAGATAATAGAGCTAGTAGTTCAAAGTGACGACAGAACATTCATTCTTCCTGATCAACTTTTTCTAAGCAAGAATTTAGGCAAGGAAAGTAGGAGGAAAATGGATATATACCAATGTTCTAATCAATAAAGACCTTAAATGTACTCATAGCTGCATGACTGCTACCTCCAAACATACTGTAATGCCCAGCATATCCTGTGGCAAAACAGTTCCACATGAGAAGCCACATGCTGTTTTGCCTTTGGGCTGCGGGCCAACCCCTACAAAATATCCATCCATGGCTTCTCCTGAGCCACCCTGCCCTCCATGAGATGTTTACCAAAGGCTGAGTGTAAGTTATGCCCTTACTCAAATGAACTTTCAGTAACCAACTTATTGCCTCAGATAGCATGACCCCACAGGCATGAGTGCCTGTATGATTACAACTATTTCATGCCTTATTTGTCTGTTTTCATATATACTTAGAGGCCTGTGTATACAGCTGTAGTCACTGTGTGTGCCTATTCAAGTCCTGGCACTGCAGGCATTATTATTTTGGCTTAAAAATGCACCTCTGTACCAAGATATATAGGGCTGCTCCCTTGACAGAGATGACGTTCCCACATGGCTCTCACCTAAGAAAAATTATTCTGACATCATTTGACACTCATTGCTCTCCAGCATCTTTCCAGCCTAGGGCCTATGCATTCATCTTACTTCTTAGAGAGACTTGAATTCCATGTAAGCCTTCCCAATTCCAAGTTAAATAAATGCATACTAGGTCTGGTCTGTAGGCAAACTGTTAAACACTGCTACCCATGACAAAGCATTCAATCCACAGGATGTGTCTGCCTTTGTTAAATGTAACTGATACCTCACAGAAAAAAAAAAGGGCAGAAACATTTTCGTTCCCTTTTCTCTACTAGTAGTTCAGAAAGACTGAAGTGCTTATTCACAGAATGATAAACTAGATGCAGGAGTTTTTGGGTTCCTGCTGCTGTTTCTCCTCCTTGGAGGAAAAGGGTCCTCTAGAAGTCAAATTCAGCACACCTAGATGATGCATCTGCCCTGAATTTGTTCTCGAGAGAGAATGGGCTCTTCCACTTATATCAAGGGAGCAGGGAAAGATTTTCCTCTTATGCAGAAAAACAGCTCTTTACAATGTTAAACAAAAGAAATGTGAGTAAATTCTCTGGAATACTTTTCCATTTTTAGCAAAGAGAGAGAGCTGTGGCCTTTAGGTCAAGTGTTGTGTCCCACATCTTGCATGCAGCCAGACATCCTACCAGGGACCAGTCCTGGCATCTTGGAGAACAGATCAAATTCACCAAATTGCTTTTCTTTGTTTACATATATTTTAAGGTCTTCAAGCAAAAATATTTATTTTTGAACATATGTTTGTATAGCTTGGTCTCAATATACATATAGTGTAGTGATACACAGCATGGTCTTCATATGACTGTAGCGCTTACGGGTTGCTTTTGACCCTTCTTTGAATACCCTTCTTACATTGTTACTCTCCAGACCTGTTTACCCTTTTCCATCCCCTGGCAGGCATAGCAGAGGTGATAGAAGGACTTTGTAAGCTATACAGTACTTCAATTTGGCAAAGGAAAAAAAGAAACCTCAGAAAACAAGAGCCTTGTTTCCCTTGATAGATGGCTGGTAGTTAAAGCAATCGATGCAATCTCCAGCATATCTATCATCAATTCACACTTACACAAAGACAACACAGAAACAAACAATGGAAACTAAGAACAAAACTAAGAACTAAGAAGTGTTTTTTAAGCTTTGTTTTTATCAAACTAACTATAACATTTTATGCATTGTCTAGGTTATAAAACAATTAAAAGCTTGTAGTCAAACTGGCTTCTTAGAAGCTTTGTAATTTACTTTCTGGAAGCAAGCACTGAGAAAGAGAAGCCTTTGCTACAGCTGAGAAAATACCCGATCTTCTGGTTTGATGGTCACACACACACACGCACAAAACCAGCAAAAGATTGTTTTACCCAAACTAAGAAACATTTAATTTCTGAGTGCATTTTTTTGTTTGAAAAGTGAAAACTGAATTAAGCATACTGAGTGATGTCATTCTAGAACAAAAAAAAGCACGACTATTTAATTAGAAAAAAGATATGAAACATTCACGATTCCTAAATCTCCTCTCATTTCATTAAATGAAAAATAATTGTCAAGTATTTCAGTAGGTCCAACTTACATTCTTTAAACCGCGCCCCCCATCTAGTAGTTAAACTATTTTGTCCAGCTCTGATTCTGTCTTGGTGATGATTCTACCACAGTAACCAGTATTATATCAAACTCGAATGTGTAAATCTTTTCCTTCTTTAAAAACAATTATGAGCAGGATCTCCAAGAAACACAAACTAATGCTTTAGTTTAGGGGCGTGGCTGCAGTTTAAGTGGAATTCAAATGACATCTAGCTTTGAATTAATCTGCTTACCCGATAATAAGCTAGATGTCTTCCCTCAAAATACACCGTTGTTCGGTACTCCATAGGTATTATAGGAGGGTTAGGGTTTAGAAACTGCGGGCATTCTTCTTCCTGGGTAAAGAAACATTTTACACGTTATTTGAAATAAAAAGTCTTATCACAACAAGCTCCGATGGCCTTCGGACAATGGAATGATTGTTCTGAAGAACTTCATGCTTAAAATACAGTGACAGATTTGATTACACCCTTTCAAATTAGACATGCTAAAAATGACTGCAGCATATGTCAAAGCTGTGGGCGATTATCTTTCTCAGTCTTGAAATCTTGTTCCTCCTATTGAAGCAAAATAGTAAAAGGAACAAAAATATCCTTTCAGGAGTTATTCAGTCTCACTGCCCCTCCTCAATCACACCCTTAAATTCCCACCCCCGCACTGTCATTAAAAAAAAAAACCTTACACTTCTGGAGTTAACTTTAGAATAATTTTTAAATCCCTAATTCAATGAACTGATATGAGAGAAAAGGCAAAGAAAACATTGAAGTGTTCCAATAAAAACCTAATAATCTTATTTTTAAACATTACCATATTTTGTTTAATGACATCCTGTATTGAAGAGGACTCTTCGCAGATATGTCTCTTCCAGTCCCACTGGCAATTCCATCTATTGCTTGCACAGGAATAGCATCTACAAATATAATATGATAGTCATGACAAACTGTCAGGCTTTCTCCCCCATTGACAAAAAAAGTAAATGAAATTCCATCTTTATTCATGGAGGGTAGATCAATCTGTTACAGTGTCCTTACTATATTAAGCTGAAAACTTCATAGTAAGAACAGTTCAAGAACCCCAAAAAGCTATTTTCTCCCTTAAATATTTCAACAAGGATCCGAAATCCACAGCATCTCGCACAAACTTTGAGATCAAGTTTGAGAGAACTGGAAATGGTCTTGATCAACCTTCATACATAAGATGGAACAAAGTGGGGCTTGGCTTGGCTATGCCTGCCCTGGGGCAGCAACATCTCGAGCAGGGCAGGTGATGGGGGCAGGGTCAGCTTTGATTATCCTGTTTGAACGCACTGCAACCCAATCTAATGTTTGAGGGAACAAGTACGTAAGCAGATGTCCATGGAGCTCACCTGCAATGGCAATCCAATGAACTGGCCTTCAATTATACGTGCCATGAATATTCCCATTCCATGTGGTTTATGTTCCCGGCTTACCTGGTGCCCTTCAACCATTTTCCAACTCCATTAAAATGTAAGAAAAAGGATTTCGACACTGGCAAATTTAGAGAGTGCCAAAGGCTTAATTATGAAATGATTGAGTAACTCAGCTGCCAGTTACCTGAAACACCACGCTACAGGATCTAAATGCCTAAGTTAAGAAGCTGAAATACTTACGGCTGATTTTCAAAAAGATTCATTGTTTCTTCACAGTCATAAAAAGGGTAAGTATGTGATGCAAAAAATATCTTGTTCTTTCCAAAGGTTAACTGAAGTGGAACTGAAACATGATCTATCACAAAAGAAAAAAAAATTATCTAAGTGGCTGTTGAATTCTTTAGCCCTTGAGCTGAATGATAGAATGATAACACTTTTATTATTTTACAGGACATAAGCAAATATTTAAATATACTGTTGACATTCTGGAGCTCGTGACCTGTTATACTTCAGATCTGTAAGCTCTGTTTTGTCTTTTTAAGCTTTGCAAATTTTTCAGCACCTGGTTGTCGGAAGAAAAGCAGAGATGGGATAAAGGGAAGAAGTGAAATTATAGAATAGCTTTGTTTTACAGAAGTGTTTCTCAGCGGTGCTATCATCATGCTAGAATTCTAAAGAGTAGAAGAATAAGGAAAATGGAATAAGGAGATAATTGAACACAGATGAAAACTGGCACGAGAACAGTCATTTTAAATAAAACATTTTCTTAAATATGAATATGTCTGCATGTAAAATTACTTGTTTCATTTGTGGATTAAAACTGTCATCGTCATGTGAATTAAAGCAAGTGATCTTTGTGGTTAATGCCCAACAGTGCCTGCAACACTAAGTTACCACAGGCACTTGTGATCTTCAGTTTGCCGTACATGATTTCTCCACAAATGTACTTTTTGTCTGGATCATTACTGAACTAAGAGTGGAAAATTTATCTTCAGAAACGGGTGCTTTCCTCAGCGAAGCTGTTTGAAATACCTTTTGCAGAAATCATTAAGCCCTTACGACAAGCTATTTCACAAGCTATTGGGCAATTTCAAACTCTGCTTTCCTTGAACAGGTTCTTCAAAGAAGCTGCTTGGCTGGAAGTCACCTTTGCCTGCACTGGGTCCCCTTGAATATTTCAGACTGGTAGGAATGCCAGGGGATTTCCTAACAACAGGACTGCAAAAAAGCATCCTTCCTCTCTAGAAATGTCCTATTCCCTTTGGAGCCAACCACAACTAAAGTAACCCAGACTTTTCCAAACTCAATAGGGTTTCTTAACAGTAAGTAGATGGCTCAGGACTTTTTGTCACATGCTGCCAGGAACCACTGCCTGTGTTCATAACTGTCTGCCTTCTGCTGAAGTGTCTGTCAAGCTTCTGAGCATCTTTATATTGCTTTTGAACATCCTTTCGGATGGATCCCTGTCCAACCAACTCAGAGAGGCGTATTATTTCTAAGTGACTTGGTTACTCTAATGCCAGCCCTGACAGGCTTCTGGTCTCACATTTTATGCTGGAAGACATCAAGATGTCATGTTTATCAACCCGGTCGCTTTATGTCCTGCTTTACAAAATATTTAGGGAATGTGAATTGGCCCTACATAACAGAGTGCTGCTTTAACACTTAGCATAATCTGATACCGTGACACACTCCAGCTAGTTTAAAACTTGAGTGAGATTTTAACATCATTACTCTTCCTGCAACTAAAACTGGATTTTGACCTGTTTCAGTCTTAAGAGAATTGAAACTTATCTTAAAAAGTGCTTCCAAGTACTGATCTGACAGTTCACAGCTGCTGTGATACATACAAAAGGGTTATCCTCAGGGGCACCTCTGCAAGCTGCAAGAGCACCCATTTTGGGGGGTTTTTCTTCTTTTTGTTTTTTAAACTCGATACATAATAAACAGTGCTGTATAACTAGTTTTATTCCATGTGTTTATGCATCAAGATGTATGAACTTAAAGCATGAATAAAACACTATCTAGGAAATAGCGCAAGAATTATGGTTGGCAACAGACCTTAAGCGTATAATCAGTGGTTCAGAACAATGATACAGCCTTTAATTATACGATCACATATTTTTCCACTGGACTTACTATTGCAGAAGCTGGAGGGCACATAGTAGAAGAGGCAGAAGGCTTTATGAGAGAAAGGACAACCTTGTGACATGGACCAGAAAACAAGCCGCTGACCTACAGCTGACTAGAGCAAAACTAAGACATCAGAGATGAAAAACTTCACATCTGAAGCACATATGCGGCTCTTCTGGCCCCACAACTCGGAGTGATTAGGGTAAGATTAGAGAAGCTGGGTTTTGTTTGTTTGGGACACAGAACAGCACCTCTCTGGCTCCGTGTCTATGCCTCTGCCAAGCTCCTGTTTCAGGTTCCTGGTAGAAACACTCGGAATGCTACAGCTTGTAAATACAGCAATGGAAAAAGTTTAAGCAAACCTTTTTTTTTTTTTTTAATGTTTGAACGGACAAAGTTCAGCAACAGGGAAAGGGACTGGAAGAGGAAAAAAATCTTGTATGCAGCTCATATAAGAGCATCACATTAGAAGCAGCAGGCTATGTTCTTTCCTCTTATTATACATGGAGGGTAGCAATATTTCTTTACCTTGACCTTTTGGTGTTGGAGGAATTATATCAGGTGGATCACAGATAATAACCCCTTTTTTTAATTGAGCGTAGTGGGTTGTTTCACCAAATGTACACCAAACCTCGTCACTCTCAGTCAAAGCTGGCAATGGGCTTACAGTCAGTTCCACCTGGAAACAAAATTTAAAAAGGGTAAAACATTTGAAAGAAGCGAACCAAGACCCAGTAAGATTTATGGCCAGAGAATTTCAACTGCTTTTTTTGGCAAGCGGTGATATTTTGGCTAGTATCACAGAAGATGTTTCTCTTTTTCAATTTTTATTTCTTCCCATCCGCTAATCTTTTCTTCTTATACCTCTACCAATTTTTCCAGGCTGGGTCTATGTTGAATTAGACTGGTACAAAAACCTCTTGTCCTGTCAATGCATTAGATCAGAACAAAAATGTCTGTACAAATACACTCAAAGACTTTTATTCTTGTCCTCAGCATCCAGTTTAGCAACAGTAAACAGAGTGGTTAACACTTAAATCCTGACAAACTTAATTAAAATTACATTAACCTTAGGTGTTACTAGTGAATAATGAAACCAAGGCTGGATGGGCTGGAAAAGCTGGAGTTTGAAAGCGCTGCATATAACAGTGGCTTCCTCAAGACTCAATGTGCATGCAAGAAACCCACTGCGATCTATCATTACTGCTGAAAAAGGATTTCTGAAAGAATGATGGTGAGAAATTAACCTCCTCAAGGAAACTATCAATACAGAGTGCATGTGAGAAACTAAAAGCAAAATAAAATTGGAAAACTTAGCAAGGAAAGAGGAAAAAAATGAAATTAATTTTAGATGCTGTCCTTGATTTAATGCTTCAGGTGTGTTAATTATACAGTTTAACTTTTTCCATTTTGTATTGCCAGTAGAAATGACAATCATCCCTTTCACACTGAAACTGTTCCACTATGTTATGAGCTGCAATGTTTTTTGGTGAGTAAAGGAATCATGAGGAGACAGAGGCATTAGCGATGGTACAGGCAGCACGTAAACCTCATTTGAAGTTGGGCTTAGTTTTGGTTTTTAGGTATTTTGGCCTCAGATGCTGATGTGAGACACCAGAGGCTTGTCAACACAAGTCGACAAGATCTGAACTAAGAGAAGGTGTGGATTTTAAGCGGACTAGTTGCACTCTCCTAACATTTTTATTCAACATAGAAATGGCCTTAACACAATGCTGTTTACATCATTTAGGAATAGAATTAAACTGACTTGAATTAAAGTCTCTTTCTTTCTGATTAAGAGGGATTAAAAGCCATTTTACTGATTTTACTTGCTGATCACCCCCAGGAAGCCCTCAGTCTGCACTGGCATGCTCCATTTGGAGCTAGAGCAAACTATGACACCCTGGTCACACTCTGAACACTCAGTTTTATTGCCAAGGAGTCATTTTGCACGCTGAATTTACCTTCTTCATATACCCAGACTTCGCTGTGTAGGCAAATCCATTGCTGATTTTAAAGCAACAGCTTATGGCTTCGCTGCTTACTTAAGTTTATGCTCAAGTAAGCTGAAAGGGCAGCATGAAACCTCCGCTATCAATTACTTTTTATGGGTTATACAACATTGTGCAACACTTTCATAATATTCAGATAAATATAAGTGCTTTATCATCCATACTAGTGCATCATTTTGGTTTACAGAGAAGGTCAAAAAGAGCATTTCTTAGAAGAAAACATGAACTGCAACCTGCAAAAACAGCAGGCAAGAAAGACCACTGTGAGAAACGCCAGAGACTGAGATACCCAAAACTCTATCCTATTCCTAGTCAGCACTATGCAAAAAGAAATGTGGATATTCATCTTCTTGGTAGTGCTTTAAGAACATAGGGAAAGCACTTTCTTGTCATACCTTTGTAGGGGCTCTGCGACTCATATTTAGAGGGTCTGCACTAATGATAGTCATGCACGTGCCACTTGGACTCCACAGCCAGTGGTTCTCCTCATCAGCTGTTCCACAGTCTGCCTTCTTTGTGCACCTGACAAAACAGGAACAAAAACCAAAGCAAAGCAATATTATAGCTGGAATCTGCTTTCTCTGAACTACGCAACAATTTCAGGGTTAGAGACTGAAATTACAACACAAGATGACTGGGAATTTGCTTTAATATTGACTATTCAGGTTGCTAATAGAGAACTTTTAATAGAATAAGTGGAGGAATAAGTATTGATGGCTTGAGATGTCAAAAGCAAGTGGGGAAACATATAATATTTTGGACCCCACCTTGGATTAGACAACCCAAACATACAGAGGCAGTAATATTTTGCACAGGAGCCATCAGGCAATGGAGCCATTGCCTTATCATCTGAAACCAGGCTGATCAATCTTCATTGTAATATATAATAAACTCCTGAATGAGTGGGCACAGGCTAGTTTTTTCTGCAGGTCAAGTGGCAGACAGCTATGTGTTGTCAGTAAAAAGACACCCGATGCACGAGAGTACAAATGCAATAGAAGAGTATTGCTGGGGGCACACAGGTTTGTGGAGAGCTCCTGTGAAACCATAGCACTAGAAATGTTACTTTTGTAGTGAATGTTTTCATTAACTCCTGCCACTATTTAAGACCTCTTTCTGCCAGGGCACCGTTACCATTACAGGAAGACGACAGCAGTTGTGCAGCCTCACCAAAAATATTGGGAGATTTTCCCAGCTCACATACAAGAAGGACAGAAAGAAGAGATGCTGTGGTGCAGAAGCTGCATATGCAGCTACAAAAGCTTGTTGAAGTGTGTGTGTGTGGTCAGTCTCATGCATATTCTTTCCATTCTGTGCAAAGTTTAGGAGAAAACGCTGTAGGATCTCTGGCTGCTGTAGCACAAGACTATTAACTCCTCAGGGGCTTTAACACAGTGCAGTTGCTGCACAGTTCTGTCAACTCTACCCTTAAAGATATCGTTTACATACAGAGTCTACATCCATATAACATATCCCTAAACACACTATTAAGTGCTGTGTGTGATCATGAGACAGAACTTGCTGCAGATGAGAAAAACATTAGAAATTAAACTTTTTTTTCCTCATTGGAAATAAATACTAGCAAATGCAAAAAGTCATGTTTGCCTGTTCTCAGAGACCATTAATACTTTGAGATATTGAGGTCAGTGGTCATATCAGAAACCTGAAGGGAAATCTAGGGAAAATTGCCTTTCATATGGTATATAACATGGCCTTCAACTCCCAGCAGCCCAGGAGGAGTTCGAGGTGTATATTCCAAATCCCTAGGTTTCATCCACAGCAACTGAAACCCGGGCTGGAAAAGTTACAGTATATTACATAAACCTGCACACACTACATAAGTTTCTCTGCGGTGGTCCATATTATGCTACACATCAGGCTGGCAGGTAACTTAATGTGATAGTTCACATTTTCAGACAGGAAGCTAGAACCCTGGAATTCATCTGCATACTATAATTAAATAGCCCCTTTGTTCCAACAGCAAGTATTTAGAATCATGAATTCCCAACTGCTCATGCCAAGGGGTTAATTAACTTAGTAGTCAAAAAGAGAGCTGCAGGACCGCTCTTTCCTCTTGCCACTCCAATCAATG